ACTTAATAAGAAAGACAGTCTACTGCTGACCAGTGGGGTTGCTTCTCTACATGCAAGTTTTCTTGCATATAGTCGATTTGAGTTTATTATAGAGAAAGAGGTGGAGACAAACTGGATGTGGGCCTCCTATCCGCGTCTCAGCAGCCTTGCCATGGATCTGCCCGATTCTTTCGCATCAAAAAGTTGATCTTTCGAGCCATTTCCATGTTGTAGATCCGCCTGCAGGTTTCATAGCTTTCCCGCTGTCGCTTGCGGCAAGGTTTCTCATAGTATCTTCGTCGTTTAATGTCTTCAATGAGCCCATCCATGCTGAGGATTCTGTTCAGGGTTCTGTATGCACCTTCCACGTTCCCTTCGTGTACCATCACAGTCCTGGCAATGAACTTCAGGTGCTTTGCCATAACTTTGGATTTAGGTCTTCACTCTTCAGGACTTACAGGAGGGCGGAGAAAAGGCAAGGAAAGCACAGAGACCCGAGAAAACGGGGAAAACCAAGGGTAGCCAGGCTTCGCCACCGAGGCCGCGTCGCCGGGCGCGGGGGGACGGCCGGGGCAGGGGCGCGCCGCAGGTCCAGCGACCGCTCACGGGACAAGGAGTCTGCCGGGCGTGGGGGACGGGGCCGCCGTGCAGACCCGGCCCTCCCCAGGCCCTCCAAGGCTTCCCGACCGCGGAGGGAGTCCTTCACCCGGCACCCTCAGAACGCGCCCGGCCCCCGGCGCTCGCGGCCGGAAGCGGAAACTGATTGTGTGCTTTTCTTACCTGTCTCACCTGGTGATCAGGAAGGTTTCTTGGAAAAAGTAATGTCCATACCAACCTTAAATGTTGGGCTTAATTCCTTTTTAAAGGCTAATATTATATTAAAGATAAATCAAAACCCTGTTTTGGGAACACCTAGCAACTTGCTATTGAAAGGAAGTTGAGGCACTGAACTCCATATTCCATCCATCAGGCATACTTTCCCAGCTTAATAGTTTGCCGTTCCCATGTTGATTGACCTTCAGGTCCCAGAATGTGCCAGGGTCTCTGTGACTGCCATAACCCTTGTCTCACTTCTCTTGGTTCTCTAGGACAGATGTTCCTTCTTCCTTGATTCCACCTGGGGGAGTTTGGGTACATATCCTGTGAGCTCACGCACAAGGCTGGTCTTAATTTTTTACTTGTCCTGCACCAAGCAGTCTGGCTTCTTCATTCCTCCATATAATTTGTAGGCGAAGGGATCTTTTCACAGAACCCAGCATACCTTTGGTGCCTAGTCAGTGTTTGTTGAATGAACCAGATTTAATAACTTTTGAAGGTTACAGTCATGTATATAATTGAAGCTCTTGGTTCTAGCCAGTTATAAAAGAGAGTGTCATTTTACTGAAAAATGTAGAAGCACCAGTGAAACAGATTTTATGCATGTGGCCTAGTTATTAACCTCATAAAACTCTTTACAGTCCTTTGCATTTTATGCCTCTTTACTTTTTGCCTGAGTAACCAAAACACTGAGTAATTCATGGTTCCCAATTTCTGTTAATTAAATACTAATGTGTATTTTAAAATCTGACTGCAGTTTTTAAATTAATTAGAAGTCTTTTGATATTAACAAAAATCAGTTTGACTTAGACTGTGTGACAAAGAGGGGAATATGTGATGAAGAGACAGGGGCATTTCACAGATTCCAAGATTAGGAACACAGCCAGGCTTCAGGAAGAACTGGAACTGAGAATTGGAAGGCCCGCAGGAATCCCAAGAGTCCTTTCTGTTTGCTTTTTTCGGCAAAGCTCTTTTATTCATCTTTCTTGTGAACTGGCTTTCTGTTTCTCAGTGGGGAGAGGGTGGCCTCTCATAATGCTCAGTTTTGCAGCCAAGTTCCAGCCATATGGAAAGCCTGTTTTTCCATCTCAATTCCAAATTCCCCAGAACTTCGGGCTTGGCTCAGGTTGCCTGTCAGACCCTGATTCAGTCAGCAGCTATGGCCAGAGGTGGGGGTCATGCTGACACACCTGCTTCTGCTCATCTCTAAATAGTAGGTGGGGAGGTAGATAAAAAAGGTGTAAGGCAGACAGACAGCAGAGAGACATTGTGGGGCTAGCAAGCACTCTGAAAACATCTATAGAATGGCAAATACTGGAGACCTATAAACCACTGTGAGATCATTTCTAGTTTATCTCGCTCCCTGAATCAATTTCATATGAACCTGAAAGATTTAACTCTTCAAAATCATATTCACCCTTTCTAATATGAATGTAGGTTGAGATTTTTAAGGTACTGGCATATTCACATGTAGTTGGGTCTTAGTTTTCTGTATGTGGTAACATTTCTTCTTTCTTTCTTTCTTTTTTTTTTTTGTGGTACTGGGGATGGACCCCAGGGCCTTGTTGCTTACAGGCAAGTGTTCTACCACAGCTACATTCCCAGCCCTGGTGATATTTCCTATATATGATACGTCTTCAGTTTTTGAGAAGTAGGGTCTAGCAATCTGTTCAATATGAATCTAAGGGGAGCCATCCATGTGATTTAAAATTTCTAGTAGCCACACTGAAAAAGTGAAATGAAATAGGTAAAATTAATTTGAATGATGTATTTAATCCAGTATATCTCAAATATTATGATTTTCCTAATATAAAATTATGAATGAAATATTTTCCATTTTTAAAAAAATATTTGCAATATGGTATGTTCCAACACATTTTAATTGGAATATCCACATTTGAAGTGGTGAGTAACTACTTGTAGCTAGTAGTTACCATACGGGATAGTTTTAGAACTGTCTCAAAGCATTCGGTTTTCTTCCTCAGTTTCTCTAAAATTTCTTTGTAAAAAGCCTTAATGCTAAAAGATCGCTCTTTTAAAAAATGCCCTTCATCACTATCAGCAGAGAACTCTTGGGGAGACAGGTAGGGATTTTAAAACCAGCTACAGTAGAGTTGCTCACCTGGAGAATTTTCTGTATTACCTGTGTTGGCAGAAAAGGGCATGTGATTAACCAGGTGTCCAGGCTGGAAACTGTTGCCTCTTCTCAGACTTCTCATTCCTGTACTGTCACTAATCCTCTCTGGAAACCTCAGTTTGCTTATTTATAAGAAATTGGGCTTATAATGGTCCTGTTCACTAGAAGAGATTTTCATGGGATTTAAATGCACTGATAAATTTGAAAAATGCTTTGAAAGACATTTACAGGTTCTATAAATCGAAGGCATTACTTTAATTTAATTAGAGAGAAAAAGGCCACTACATTTTAGAGCCAATAATAGCTATTATTTACTGAGAGTTTACTTTGTGCTAGGAAATGTTATGAGTGCTTTATAGGTGTTTTATAATTTAACCATAGAATCAAGCTTATAAAGGTACTCTTATATATGAAGAAGCTATGATATTGAAGTTAGGAAATTAGTCCAGGGTCACTTATCTGGTAAGTAAACTGGTGTGAGAATGTACCTTTTAAAAATATGGAATTGAAATACAAGAAAAATTTGTCATTGTAGCTATCTTCAAATGTACAATTCTGTGGCATTGAGTACATGCTCCGTCTCTTGTAATCATGACCACCTTCCATCTCTAGAACTTTTCCATATTCTCCGTTGGAAAGTCTGTAGTAACTGAAAACAAACTCCCCATTATCCTTCTCCCCAACTCCTGGCAACCACTTTCTAATTTTTTCTATAAAATTGTCAGCTAAGTACTGTATATAGGAGGAATCATACAAGTTTTATCTTTTTGTGACTACCTTATTTCACTTAGCATAACGTTGTCAAAGTTCATCCATATTATAGAATATGTCTGAATTTCCTTATTGTTAAGTCAGAGAATACTCCATTGTATGTATGTGCTGTATTTTCTTTATTCATCTATTATTTAGTGGAGTTGAGTTGCTTCTACCATTTGGCTCTTGTCAGTAATACTTCTGTGAACATGGGTGTACAAAGTGGGAATTGCTGGATCAGGTAGAAATCCTATTTTCTTTTTAACTTTGAACTATTTGAACCTTCATATGTTTTCAACAGTGGATGCATCATTTTACATGCTTATTAGCAGCACACCAGTCCGTTTTTCCACATCTTTGTTCAGACTTGTTCCTTTCCTCCCCTCCCCTCCCCTCCCCTCCCCTCCCCTCCGTATTTATTTTTTATTTATTTTTTGGGGTGGGGTACCAAGGATTGTATTCAGGAACAGTTAGCCATATCCCCAGCCCTATTTTGTATTTTATTTAGAGACAGGGTCTCACTGAGTTGCTTAGTGCCTTGCTAAGTTGCTGATGCTGGCTTTGAACTCTTGCTCAGCCTTCCAAGCCACTGGGATTATAGGCATGTGCCACCCTGCCTGGCCTCCTTTTCTTTTCTTGATAGTAGTCATCCTAATGGGGTAAAGATTATAAACATACAGTTGGTTGTCACTGTGGTTTTAATTTGCATTTCTGGAATAATTAGTGACATTGAACATCTTTTCAGTTGCTTATTGGTCATTTGTACATCTTTAGAAAAATGGCCATTCAAGACCTTTCTCTCTTTTTTAGTTAGGTGGTTTTTATTGTTGTTGTAGGAGTTTTTAAAGTAATTTTGGATATCAAAGCCTTATCATAATATGATTTGCAAATACTTTTATCTGTTCCATGGATTGACTTTTTATTGTTGGTTTTATCTGGATATATCTTTATTATTATTATTTTTGTACTTGGGATTGAACCCAGGGGTGCTCAACCACTGAGCCACATCTGCAGCCTTTTTAAAAAAAAATAATTTATTCAGAGACAGGGTCTCACTCAGTTATTTAGGGTCTTTCTATGTTGCTGAGGCTGACTTTGAACTTCCAGTCCTCATGCTTTAGCCTTCCATGTAGCTGGGATTAGCAGTCACTCTCAGCTTAAAGTTTTATTTTATATTTCTCATTTTATTGTTTACCTTGTATACAATATTTTTAAAAAATTATTTTTTTTCTTATTTATATATTCCTTTAACTGACGAGTATATATGTATTTGGTATTGTAGTTGTAAAGTACCTTTCTTATTTTGTCTTTCCAGTTCTGAGTTGAAGCTCTTGGAGGAGGCAACCATTTCAGTCTGCAAGGCTTTAGGTAAGGGAGAAGGTGTGTATGTGTGTGTTTGTGTGGTGCATGAGTGTGTGCAGGTATGCATGTGTGTAGGGGACTTTTTTCAAATGTTCTGTTACAGATTTTGTCAATATTATATGAATTGGATTAATGAAGTGATGTATCTTGATAATGAAATAAGTAATAATTATTTCTGTTCATAGTACTTATGGATGTTAACAGAAGATTCCATTCAGTTAACACGCACTGAGCTATATTTGTAGTGGTAGTAATAGATTATGCTAAGCTATAGGTACTCTTTCAGCTTGTTCTATTTGTGAATATTGAAATACAGAGAAAAATCAAAATATTAGGTTAGTAATGGACAGTTCATATAGAATTCACCATTCATCCTGTGATTTGCCACCTGCCCTGACTGCATGTGCTATTGTTGACTATGTTAACCAGAATAATTATTACTCACAAAAGTATATTAGGAAGTTTCTCCATAACAGCTTGATATTAAGGTAGAAAGCATGAGATCAAGAATACTTTTATGATCTTTATTTCTGCTCTGCTACTTATTAGTTGAACCTTTATTTCCTCATCAAAGTTGAGGTTAAGAACAACTATTTTACAAGATTGTTGAAAAGATAAAAATGATATAACATGAAATATCCAGTATAGAACATGGTATCTAGTTGTTATACAGTTTTATGTCAACAGCTATTTCCTTTTTTGGCCTCATTTTTCAAATGCTTTACTTTCAAGTTGATAGTAATTAGAATGGAATGTGTATGCTTTTTAAAAATATGGGTTTAAAATGCAAATAACTGTAATTACTGTGCATCATTGCTTTGAAAATGAGAGAGAATGTGTTTATAAAATATCCAGTATAAGGATCTTTAAAGTAATATTAATATCTGTTATAAAATCAAGCCATGTTGCCAGGCATGGTGGCACACAGCCATAATCCCAGCAGTTTAGGAGGCTAAGATAGGAAGATTGCAAGTTTGAGTCTAGCCTCAGCAATTTAGTGAGACCTGTCTCAAAATAAAAAATAAAAAAGGGTAGGGATGCAGTTCAGTGGTAAAGCATCCAAGTTCAATCCTCAGCATAACAAAACCAAACCAGACCAGACCAGACCAGATCAGACTTGTTGATAAGCATATGAGTTCTATGGGCAACTCTCATATCAGTTACATTACCAGTAACAGTCTTTGATGAAATATTTTTGTATTTGGAAACATTATGTTGGTAATGATAGAGATCTATTGTTGTTTTGCTTTCAATTAAAACATAGATTACAGAATTTTATGCTATCTATAGCTGGCTCTCAAAAATCATGTGGCAGTTTAATGCTGAAAATTATAGAGTTTTATATCACAGTGGTGTCAGTGCAGTCATTATGATGGTGGCTTTAAGGTGAACTTGTTTTTTTTTTTTTTTTTTATAAAGCTTGCATTTAAACATTGGAAGTAATATTGACTTAGCAGATACATGGTGACAAACACACCAAATATGTGTATCATCATCATCATCATCACACACACACACACACACACACACACACAATTATTATTATTTATCTTTGTTTTATTTTTATTTATTTTTATGTGGATCGAACCCAGTGCCTCACGCATGCCAGGGAAGTGCTCTATCACTGAGCCACAACCCCAGCTCCTACTATTACTTTTTAAATATTGTTTTTAGTTGTCAATGGACCTTTATTTATTTATTTATTTATTTATTTATATTCAGTGCTGAGATTCAAACCCGGTGCCTCACATGTGCTAGGCAAGTGCTCTACCACTGAGCTACAACCCTAGCACCTTCCCACTATTATTTTTAATGTATATTTTTTTTCTTGACATTGTATTGGAAGGATGTCATTAAAAGTACCTCTAGGAACAGGAAAATAAAAGATAAATTTTTATTGCCAATAACTCCAATAGTACAGTGGTACAGCTAAAATAAAATTTTTTCCATATTTATCAGAGGTGAGCACTGCTATTCATAGTGCTCTGTACTAGATTTGATTCATTTTAAAAATTATTTATTTATTTTTTGATATCGGGGATTGAACTCAGGGCACTTGACCACTGAGCCACATTCCCTGCCCTACTTTGTATTTTATTTAGAGACACGGTCTTACTGAGTAATGCTTAGTGCCTCGCTTTTGCTGATGCTGGCTTTGAACTTGGGATCCCCCTGCCTCAGCCTCCTGAGCCGCTGGGATTACAGGTGTGCACCACTGTGCCCGACTCTGGACTAGATTTATATACACAGTTTTATATAAATGGTACTGTTCATGCTAGGATCTTTGCTTTATCGGAATCTTCAATCTGGTCGGTCCCATCCTGCTGCTCTGCTTGCCTGTCAGGTGTTCCCTGTTGCTGCTCTGGCTCCTGAAGCTCCTTCAGCTTCCATGACATTTGATATTTATCAATTAACTTTGCTGGTGTTAAATTCCATTCCTTGTACCATGTCAGTCTTTTGGAATCTTGAATCTACCATAAGACATAATTTTTTAAAAACTCATTTAATTTAATTAATGAGATCATCTTTAATTTTATTAATTTATAGTTTTGATCTTAATTTTATCAAACAGTTCATCCTGAAATCTCAAGGTATTTTCAATTAAACTACACCCAAAGCTAGAAAGAAAACTAGGAAATTTTTGTTCTAAGTGAAACTCTAATGATATCTGACATCTTAACCGCATTTCTGTTCTCAATTGTGAAAGCTAGACAGAAGCTCCCCTGTTTTAGAATGTAAGCTCCACGAGGACAGGGGGTTCTGTTTACAGGTGCCTCTGTAGTGCCTGAAATAGTGCAGGTGTAAAGTAAATACATGATGAATGAAAAAGGTAAACAAAGCTTTATTTTATATATTTATTTATTTTGTGGTACTGGGGATTGAGCCAGTATATTTCTGTTTTTTTTTCAATTTCTTTGAGATAGCCCCTCTCTGAATTGCTTAGGCTGGCTGTGAATTTGTTATCTTCCTGATAAGCCTTCTAGTGGATAGGATTACAGGCTTGTACCACCCCAGTGGGAAGCTTTAATTACAGCAGTCTAGTAGCCTGGGTGCTCCTTCCAACAACAACAGTATTGTTTTCATTCATTTTGTGTTTAAATAGATAACCATTTGCAAATTCAATTGATTACTTATAAAGTCATTCATTATAAAAGGACTGTTGAACAAAGATTAAAATTGGGATTCTAAATGACAGTAGTCACATCAGTTTAGTTTCTTTCAATATTTATTTATTTTTGTGGCACTAGTGGTTGAACCCTGAGGAATTCTACCACTGAGTTACATCCCCAGACTCTTTTTTTTTGGGGGGGGGGGGGCAGACATAGTCTTACTAAGTTGCTTGCTGAGACAAGACTGCCTTGAACTTTTTTTTTTTTTTAAGAGAGAGAGAATTTTAATATTTATTTTTTAGTTTTTGGCAGACACAACATCTTTGTTTGTATGTGGTGCTGAGGATCGAACCCGGGCCGCACGCATGCCAGGCGAGCGCGCTACCGCTTTAGCCACATCCCAGCCCCTGCCTTGAATTTTTGATCATCCTGCCTCAGCCTCCCAAGTTGCTGGGATTATAGGCATGTACTACCACACCTGGATTCGTTATTTTACTTTGATTTACAGAAGCTAGCTAATATTAAACCCCACAGAGATACATTTGTAAACTTAACTTTTTTTTTTTTTTTAAAACAGTTCATCCTGAAAATCTCAAGGTATTTTTAATTAAACTACACCCAAAACTAGAAAGAAAACTAGGAAATTTTTGTTTCAAATTGAAACTCTAGTGATATCTGACATCTAACTGCATATCTGTTCTTGATTGTGAAAGCTGGACAGAAGCTCCCCTAACTCGCAGTACATGAGGCACCTTGCTCCTCACTGTGGAGTTCTCCAGCCAGCAATAGTGGGCACCATCTGGGAGACTGTTAAAGATGAGATTCTTCTGAGGTCACACTTCATACATGTGGAATCAGAATTTGTATTTTAATAAAATGCCCTGTGATTTTAATGTACATGAATGTATCTATTAACTACAAAGTTACAATTTTGGATTCTGAGGTAAGGTAGCCACTTTCTTCTATTGTTCCCATAATTTTTATTTTGCAAATCGTAGTTTTGATGTTCAGAATTATGACCCAAGAAAGCAGTTTTTCTCATTGCTTATTTCCCTAATTGATGTGAAATTGGCATAAGGTTGGTCAATAAGCAATTTCAATTTGACATTTGATTTTATAGATGTTACTATATGTTCTCTTTGATATTAGTGCTTGATTTTAACTTTTTAAATCATTTTCTTCTCTTGCAGTTGAAAACAATCCTCGAACAGGAAATCTTGGTGCACTAATTAAGGTCTTCCTTTCTAGAACCAAAGAACTCAAACTTTCAGCAGAATGTCAGAAGTAAGCTGGCTGATTAAATCATGTTTGCTTTTCACTTAATAATATGAATATTATTTTTCATTTATTGGTGGAATTAGGCTATGGTCTTCAGAAAATTCTTTTGAAGGATTTATTTTGATTATTAAGGGGGAGAAAGGTGAAAGAGAGGTTTAAGTTAGTGTCATAAGTCATTGGAGTGAAGTTTTAAATTCTGGAAACTTTGATTTCAGCATTTTGGACAAACTTTAGAAATATAATCCCTTTTTTTAAAATATTTTTTTTTAGTTGTCAATGGATGTTTATTTTATTTATTGATATGTGGTGCTGAGAATCGAATCTAGTGCCTCACACATGCTAGGCAACTGCTCTGCCACTGAGCCACAACCCCAACCCAATATAATCCCTTTTTTTGTGAGTTCATGGTTATCAGTACAAATAGCAAGCATTGTACTGAGCCACTGATGATGCCTCATTTAAAATTCCAGTTACATATTGGCATATACTGCTTGTTTATTATTTATTTAGTTGGAGGTGGACACAATACCTTTATTTTATTTTTATGTGGTGCTGAGGATCGAACCCAGTGCCTCACATATGCTAGGTGAGCACTGTACCTCTGAGCCACAACCCCAGCCCATACTGATTATTTTATCATAATTTTTTGGAGTTTTTAGTTTTTTTTTTTTTTTTTACTTTTAATTATCTTTATATAGGAAAACTGTAAAGTTAAGAACACAGTCCACAGGAATCAATGAAGTTATTATTATAAGTAGACTCACTATAGGAGATACACAGAGTAAAATATGAATGCAGTAAGTATCACTGGTCCAATGTAATAATGAGCCACTAAAAGATATGGACATCGATCAAATATTACAGGTAGACTGGGCAAAATGATTGACAAATTATGAAGAAATTATTGACTAGAAATAATCATGCTCATCATTCTTACATGATTTTTGGTCTTTCCTTTCTAGTCACATCTTCATTTGGCAGACACATAACGCTTTGTTTATTATTTGTTGTTTGCTGAAAGTGTTCATCTGTGAAATGTCAGATGAGGAGTTACAACTTCAATTTACTTATGAAGAAAAGTCTCCTGGTAGTTTTGGTAAGCATTGCCTTTTGAAGATGTTCTGGGTATAGTATGTGTAACATATAAGGCTAAAGTTTGAGGAATAGATGTATAACTTTGAAAATTCCAATTTTCCTATCATCACTTTTTTTTCTTGATAAGAAAGTAAGTAGGAGCAAGGCTTTTATTTGTTTGACTTGCATGCATGTGAAACAAGAAAGAAGTTAAATAAATACAAAGCCCACAAATATTTATTCCTTTAAAAAACAAAGGTGTCAAATGTAAATACAATTTCTGAGGAATACATCATTAAGAGAGATGATCAATCAGAATTATGGATTTTATAAATGTTAAAGTTTTCTTTCACAAGACACAGCAACAGTTTGAGACTGGGTGTGTTTGGGGCTGCTTCACCAGAAATAACATTTTTAAGGACAGTGTTATGATGTTGAAATCTACCTTTATGTGAAGATATAGAGAAAAGTTACCATTTTCTTCTGATATTGCTCGAGGTTTGTTTTTCTTTTCTCTCCCCCCACCTCTTCTTCTCTCTCTCTTTTTTTTTTTTCCAAGTTAGGTGGGCCTACAGTTTTCAAGATCAGATGCTGGTGTTTCATTTATTAGCATTAAAACTTACAACCAGGAAGTAAAAGAATAAAATAGGATTATTAACAAATGGAATATCAGGAATACACGTGTTATACTCCCTTGCTACCAACTTCCTCTTCTGAGGCCCAAAGCAGTGTCATTCCTTTCTGAATTCTGTTTACAAAATATCTTTCTGCCTTCATCAGACTGACAGGGATCATATGTGACTCAAAGTTTACCAATTCCTGGGTGCAGGCAATGTGAGAACTTTGTAATATTTGCACTTTTTATTGAGGCCCCTATGCCTTGTGATTTCGTGCATGTTTAATTTCACTTAACTTTCATATACTTACAAGTGATTCTGTCTCCACTGTGGTTGCTAATATATATGCTTTTAAATGTCAAAATCTAGTGTTGACAAAGGAAAATAAACATATAGAGGGTCAATGATTCATTCAGGTAAAAAAATCACAGTGTATTGATTTTTTGAGTAACTCTATGTCCACTTGTGAAATATTTCCTAAATTCTGAAAATTCTAAAAGCAATGTTGTAGGGAAATAAAAGATTCTGTGAAATGACAGTTAACCTTTAATGTTCTTAGGCATTTATTTTTATTTTTATTTTTAGTTGTAGATGGACACATTTTGTTTATTTAAGTTGTTTATGTGGTGCTGGGGTTGAACCCAGTGCCTCACACATGCTAGGCAAGCGCTCTACCACTGAGCCACAACCCCAGCCCCATGCTTAGGCATTTCTTAAAACCATTTGTGGATGGCAGAAATCTCAAGAAATTCTGGTTATTATCCTTTAAATATATGAGGGAATTATGTTACATTTTAAATAAATGAAAAGACATAATATAATCAGCAATGTGAAAGAGTTCCTTTTCTCCCACATCCTCTGCAGCATTTATTATTATCATATTCAAGATGACTGCCATTCTAACTGGAGTGAGGTGAAATCACAGTGTAGGTTTTTGTTTGTTTCTGTTTTTTTAGTTGTAGATGAACACACAGTATCTGTATTTATTTTTGTGTGGTGCTGAGCATTGAGCCCAGTGCCTCACACATGCAAGGCAAGTGCTTTACTACTGAGTGACAGCCCCAGCCCCTACAGTGTAGTTTGTTTTTTAAATGCTCACAACTTCTTTTTTTTCTTTATATTTATTTTTAGGTGTAGATGGACACAACACAGTGTCTTTTATTTTTTATGTGCTAGGCGAGTGCTCTACCGCTGAGCTACAATCCCAGTCTTACAGTGTAGTTTTGATTTGCATTTCCCTAATTGCTTAGATATTATACATTTTTTTTTAATATATTTGTTGGCTATTTGTATTTGTTCTTTTGATAAGTGTCTGTTTAGTTCATTTGCCCAGTTATTGACTTGGTCTTTCTTTTTGGTGGCAAGTTTTTAGAGTTCTTTATTATATTCTGGATATTAATCCTCTGTTGGAAAAGTAGCTACCAATAATTTTCTCCCATTCTGTAGGTTCTTGTTACCTTTGCCATGCAGAGGCTTTTTAATTTGATGCCTTCCCATTTATTTATTATTTACTGAGCTTTAGAAATCCTACTGAGGAAGTCATTGCCTATGTCTATATATTGCAAGTGTTAATTCTTTATTTTTTTGCCTATCAGTTGCAAAGTTTCTGGTCTAATTCTTAGGTCTCTGATCCATTTTGGGTTGACTTTTTGCAGGGTAAAAAGTAGGAATTTAAGGATGGAGTTGGGGAATACAATGCTAAAAGTAAGCCAATCCCAAAAAACAAAATGCCGAATGTTTTCTCTGATATAAGGATGCTGATTCATAATGGGGATTGGGGGACAGTGTGGGAGGAATAGACGAACTTTAGATAGGGCAAAGGGGAGGGAGAGGAAGGGAGAGGGGCCTGCGGGTAGGAAAGATGGTGGAATGAGACAGACATCATTACCCTAACTAAGTACATGTATGAAAACATGAATTGTGTGACTTTACTTTGTGTACAACCAGAGGCTTGAAAAATTGGGCCCTATTTGTGTAATTTGAATTGAATTTCATTCTGCTGTCATATATAAAACAATAAGAATAAATTGAAGAAAAGTTGAGTCCAGGAAAAAAAAAAGTAGGAATTTAATTTTATTCTTCTACAATCAGTTTTCCTAGCACCATTTGTTAAAAGGGCTATCTTTTTTCCAATCTATAATTTTGGTGCTCCTATATCTGGGTGGGTTTGTCTCTGTGTCTTGTATTCTGTTCCATTGGCCTATATGTCTGTCTTAATGCCAGGACCATGCAGTTTTTCTTACTGTAGCTCTGTAACATAATTTGAAGGCAAGTATTGTGATGCTTGCAGCATTGCTTTTTTTTTTTCTTTGCTGAGAATTTTTTTTTTTTTTTTTGCTTATTATGTATCTTTTGTTATTTATTTACTTTCTGGGATTTTCATTCAAAATAATTCATACAAATGGTTACAGTCATAAACAAAATATTGCTGGTTTACCACATCAGCAGGATGGCAAGTGCCTAGTCGTGGACACTCTGACCAGCCTTCTCCATGACAGAAGTCATCAGGCAGCAAGCTCCCTGGGCACTCCCTCTCCTCTGAGCTGCCATGTCCATTTTCTCAAATTAGGAAAAAACAGCCTTTGTTTTGTTTTTCTAAATTATTCTAAAAATAAGACAAGCAGTTAGAAAAAAAAAAAAGCAATGCACTGTGAGGCATAAAAAAGAAAAATGGAAAGGATCCATTGTCTTGAGAAGTGTGCCAGCCACTCATCGCTCTTGGCATGTGCCAATACAGAAAAAGAAAAGAATCTCAATTGACTTGCTGAACTTTGAACTTGCTCAGGTTTTCTTTTTGTAGATAGCTAAGCAAACTTGTCCTTCCTAAATATCCTAAAAATTGTACACAGACAAGAACATTCATGATAGAATTAGCTACTAACTTCTTTTGCTCTATGAGGAATGCAAAGGACACAGGTCAGTGAGCCCCCTCATGCTACCGGACAACTATGATAGACACAGGGAAGCTGCTCTGTCTCTCGTCCCCTCGCTCACACCCAGCCCAGTCTCTGCGGTACCACCTCTGCACATTCCAGCCTAAGAATGGAGAACTCTCCATGGGCTATAGCTGATCACCTGTGTGGTCTCTATCCACCTAAGGCTTGATAGTTTGGCCAGGAGAAGGGGCATGGGGTGGGTGAGCCATGGCGGTGGGATGGGACAGAGACATGGTGCTAGGACAAGTCCTTTGTCTGAGGCTAGGATGCAGGTGAGGGCCACACTCATGACTACTGAGTATACCTGCAGGAAGTCCTCTTGAGCTCAGGTGCCCCATGGCTAGATCCATTCTGGTCCAGTGTGTGTGGAGACTGTCCAGTGGTACTTGCCAAAGCCATTTTTCAGGCTGTCAGGGATCTAGCCTGTGATAGCTCCCCAGATCTCCTGGCGTGCCCCCTTGCAAATCATGATGGATGGCTACTCACTGTACCACAGGAAATGGGGGTTGTAGATGAGGTTGGGTGTGTCCTTCAAGGGTCCCTGGCTGAAACCGAAGAGCTCTGACACATGCAGGTCTAGCACCAGGCTGTGGATCTGCCCCCTCCTTCAGAGCCTAAGCCAGATCCAGCAACCCGTGGCCTGTGATCACCAGGAAGGCCCCTTGTCTCATCAGCTTGACAGTGAAGTCATTGATGAGGTGGTGGTTGTGCTCGTTGAGTTGGCAGTGCAGTGAAGAGCAGGTCCTACAGGGTGATCATGCCTGCTTAATGCCCTAGGACAGGTAGGGGTCATTGAAGAGGATATTGAAGCTGAAGGCCTTGTCCTGTAGTGCCAGCCCAGTGTGTCCTATTCAGATGATGGTTTGCTCATGGTCTCCCTGCAGCTCCTGGCAGCTCTGAAGCCTCTTTGAGGATCTGCTCACCACTCTGGACCTATGCCTTCCCCCAGTACCTGGTGTAGTCCGATGGTCCACAGGTACAGATTCAAGATATGGCATGTGGTTGAGTCTGTGGTCTGCTCCACAGATGCCATAGGCATATTGCTGGTGACACCTTGGTCCCAGCTGTCTTGGTGTTGAGGCCGCCACTGATCCTCATGGTTAATTGTAGAGCTTTGAATTTCTCTAGGTCTTCTCTGATTGGATTAGTACCAGATTGTACCATTGGTGTGGTAAAATCAGGGCACCCACTGTCTTGTTCAGCACCTTTTCATGGATATTCTGCATAGCTGTGCGTCACCATAGGCCACCATGGCCATGTCCTTCAGGATGGGCATCTCCACCATGTAGTCCCAGCTGTCAAGCAGCACTACCAGAGGCCTAGGGTGCATGGGCTGGTTCCAGTAGGAGGTTGGAACCAGCTGTTCAAAGCTTTTCGTCTCCAGAATCCCCAGGCAGAATCGTGTCCTGTTGTGGTGCCTCATCCCGCATCTTTTTTTTTTTTTTAATATTTATTTTTTTAGTTGTAGT